CTAACCCATCCCCCCACCCCCCTCCCCTCTAGAACCCTCAGTTTGTTTTTCAGAGTCCATCGTCTCTAATGGTTCATCTCCCCCTCCGACTTACTCCCCGAGAATGCATTTTTTAAGAAAAACTTTTACTTAATTTTTTGAAAAAATCAATGTAGCTAGGGCAAAGGTGTGCAAGGGCACCTGGCTCTGGGGGTCCCAAACACACACCAGGTCAGCCACTCACTGCTGACAAAATCCAAAGGCAGAGAGACGAGTGGTGGTGAATGGGAAAGGAATTTATTTCAGTGAGGCCAACACCGGGAAGACAGCAGACTAGCATCTCAAAGTCTCCAAAGTGTTGAAAATATTTCCAGGCTTATATAAGGAAAATGTGGGACAAAGTTCAGTGAGTATAGGCAGGGGGCAGTAAAGGTCAGGTGGATCATTGCCTTGAAGTCAGTCATGCAGGGTCTTTGTACATCAGGGCAGTCATTATTGCTTGAGGGGGTAGTTTCCGTTCAGTCAGGGATGCTTTGCCCACAGGGTCTTTTGCCTGAGTTAAAAGGTAAGCTGGAAAGAAGAATTTAATCAATTAGAAAGTACAGACTGAGGTCAAAGTGCAGGTGGTTGAAGTCCTCTTTCATAAGGAAAAACTTAATTTGAAGGAGTTAATAATAAAACCCACTTTGGTCTGTTTAGGTCAAACTGGCTCCTCTCTCCAGAAGCAACTGAGGTGACCGGTTTCTAGCGCTCCCTACCAGAGGTATCCTAAACAGCTTTATGTGCTGATTGTTTGATGTGCACTATCAAGTTCAATCCTCACACGTCTAAATGGTCTCCTAGGACTATCCCCCGTTTTCAACTAAGAAGATTGAAATTCAGGGCAGGAGTAACAACTTCTTCAAGAGCACACAGCTCAGTAGCAGGGGAAGCCAAATTCAAATCCAGACAGACTTCAGGTTCTCAGTCGTTAACCATGAACTCCTATAGCTTCTATATAGCTGTACTGTATAGTCATGGATAAAGAGGTTGCTAACCACTGGAGCTGAAGAACCAGAGGGTAGTTTTACAGGGAAGACGGGGTCACTGGTGCAGGAGAAAGCACAAACAGACTTCAGAAGAGAGCTGTGTAAGTCAGGGAGAGTAGCAATGAGCAGGAATGGATGGGATGGGGTAAAGTTGGTACCCCTTCCCTAAACCAGGGAGGTAAATGAAGCAGAGGTGAACAGCTTTGATGTCTCTAATAGGCGCTCAAGAAAGGATGCAACAGGAAGAATAGCTGGTCATTTGGGACTCCTCATAGACCAGGAGAGAGCCTGAGATTCCTAGGAACCAACCAGGAGGTAAATCCTTACTTCTTGCCACCAGATCCCTTCAAAAAAGTCATCTCCCTTTCCCAAGCAGATAGAACTATTTCTTCTTCTTCTTCTCCTTCTCCTTCTCTTTCTTCTTCTTCTTCCTTCTTCTTCTTCCTCTTCTTCTTTTTCTTTTCATTTTTGGCTGTTTTATTTTTAGCCCTTGGCAACTTGTTTCAAGAAAAAGACACTGTCATCAACATGAGACACTGGTTCACCGTTAGGAAATTATTAACATTGCAGTTTTCGAATGAGATCTCAGGTACTCCCAGTAAGCAGTTAAGCCTCTGGTAAGTATTTCCTACTGTGATCTGCAGCACATTATCATACAAACTATTTCTTAAAGTCCTTTAACAGAGCCTTAGGGAGGGCCAGCAACTCAGGTAGCTAGTTCTGCAGGATTTAGGTCTCTTTGTGCTGGGGTCCTGTTTTTCTCCCCTCTGTGGCAAAGTGATCAAGATAAAAGAAGTGACTGGACAGAAGGGAAAGTGTTGTCCAGCTGATTTCCTGTTCCTTGTGCTCTGAAGCCCCATTGTAGGTAGGTGGTGAGAGGGCACAGAACAGCAACAGCAAGAGGTGTTTAGGGCAGACACTGGAGAGAACTTCCTGGAAGAAAATTAAGAGACTCATGACAGTGTGATTCTGAGATATTTAGGAATAGCTATTGCAGGGATATTTAAGAAGGGACAGATACTTTAAGGGCCAGAGGGGCTAGGTGGTAGAATCCTGTGAATTTTCCCGGGGTAGATGAGGAATTCTTCCCAGGACATGATGGCTGCTCAACATCAGCAGGTTTTTTGAGCCATATCATTTCTAGGTTGCCCAGAGAAAAGCATAAAAAGGGACCAAATTGCTTCTAGTATTCTCTCTAGGTGTATCTCCCCAGACTCTCACCTTGGATCCTGGCTTCTAGTGTCTTTAAGCCCTCTGGCTTCCTCAAATGTCTCCTGATGTAGGTCTCTGTTACTTTGTGCCCTCAGTGATTAGTCATTGCCAGGTAACTGGCACCCTAATCTTGTCCATTTCCAAGGCTCATGTCTCCAACAGAGACCTCTGCATTTAGGGAGCCCTAGTACCTGCTGGTCATGGGGACCCTTTTAGCGTATGAACCACTGAAGGCCAGCACCTCAAAGGACTAATTCTTTTTTTTTTTTTATAATTTTTTTATTGTTATGTTAACCACCATACATTACATCATTAGTTTTTGATGCAGTGTTCCATGATTCATTGTTTGTGCATAACACCCAGTGCTCCACGCAGAATGTGCCCTCTTTAATACCCATCACCAGGCTAACCCATCCCCCCACCCCCTCCCCTCTAGAACCCTCAGTTTGTTTTTCAGAGTCCATCGTCTCTAATGGTTCGTCTCCCCCTCCGACGTACTCCCCTTCATTCTTCTCCTGCGATCTTCTTCTTCTTCTTTTTTTTCTTAACATATATTGCATTATTTGTTTCAGAAGTACAGATCCGTGATTCATCAGTCTTGTACAATTCACATTGCTCACCATAGCACATACCCTCCCCGATGTCTATCACCCAGCCACCCAATCCCTCCCACCCCCCACCACTCCAGCAACCCTCAGTTATCAGTGAGGTCATATGATACATGTCTTTCTCTGACTGACTTATTTCACTCAGCATAACACCCTCCAGTTCCATCCATGTCATTGCAAATGGCAAGATCTCATTCCTTTTGATGGCTGCATAATATTCCATTGTGTATATATACCACATCTTCTTTAAGGGACTAAATTCTTTTAAGAGTGGATCCTTGGGGTGCATAATGGCCAGAGTGAGAGCAGACAGGCAAGCTCTGTGGCACTGGGGCACTCTCTCCATCTGGGAGGATACAAGATCTGAGGTGACCTGTAATGTCAGAAGTCTCTTATCAGCTGCAATATTTTTTCTCTTAGGTGAGTGTTTCTGGAAAACAGCTTGCCTCAGAGGATAAGAGCCCTCTGCTTTCCAGCTCTTGTCTCAGGGTCTGAGGATCCACTGCCAGTCAGCAGCTTCGGCAGGTGAGAGCCATTCTATGGGATTAGGGTTCTAGGCCTGGGTCTGGGATTGATTTGCTGTGTGACCTTAAGGAAGTATTGTTCCACTCTGGGCTTTCATCTTAACCCCTCGATGACCTGGGAAAGTCTTTGTTTTTCTGACCCTATGACCCAAACAGAACTGCAGAAGAGCTAATATTGATTGAGTTGGACAAGACAATATAGGTGGGGTGGGATAATTTGCAGAGACAGAGAATATTTGGTGCTCAGCTTTGGGCAAAGTATGTTTGAAATGCATAATGGACCTCCAAGGGGAGAAGTCAGGCAGATTGGGACGCAACAGAGAGATCCAGGCTGGAGACACATGTGAGGGTAATCTGCAAGGCAGTTGGGGTCCAAGCTACCATACTGGGTGAGATCTTGTTTGGAGTGAGTGTGCATAAAGGAGATGAGGCAAATCATCAAAAGAGAAGGTGAAGAAAGGGTTAAAGGAGGTGAAAGAAAGTACATCAAGCCCAGGGGAGCTCTGTTTCTCTCTCCCTAGTTGGAGCTAGAACTTGCTGTCAGTCCTGGACATAAATCTCCTCTTTGCCCCCTGGATTAAAAGAACTGTCCCTGATGCCTACCAAGGCTCTGGGGCAGTGCATTCCATAAACACAGCAGGGAGGACTGCCATCACCCCAGGTAAGGCCCTGGAGTCGTCCACAGTTAATGATTAGCTCTGCTCTCCATGAAGGCCACAGGGATTCTGGAGTTATCTTCTTGATTAGCTGCCTTCTTCCCAAAGGTGGTAGGGATTCAGGAGCTGTCTGCTTAGGAGGAGGGTGGACCAAGAGATCCTCAGAGAAACTTCCCAAAGGACTTGGCAGGTGAGCACTATTGTCAGGAATGGTGGACTGATGGGTCACTAACTGATCTCTAGAAGTCAGGGCTATGGAGGAGAGTGAAAATCTCCAGGGAAAAGCAATTTGCAATCCCTAGGAAACTTGAAAGGGCCAGTCTTAATGAGGAGGCAGCACTGGGCAAAGGAAAAGTGTCTTTAGCATAGCAAAGGGAGGGACTGAGGTGGCTGGGAGAAGGGCAGTCAAAGGGGGTGGGAGTTGGATGGCAGTCAGGAAAGGAGCCCTGTCTGAGGAGGTGAGGCCAGAAGGATGAGCAAGAGCCAGCCAAGGAAAGAGAGAGGGACCAGAATGTACAAAAGCAATAACTATTCTTGCCTAGGAGCTGGTAAGGGTATCTTCACTTGTTTGTGTAGAAAATAGGAGAGGAGACAAAAGTGTTGAGAGACCTTGAGTATTCTGGCTGCTGCCACCTAGAAAATGGGGGATGGGAATTCAGCCATTGGCAGGACTCCTACCCAGATTCCTTGAATCAAAGGTCCTAGAGTTAAATTCTGCAACTCCCATCAAGGTGCACATGTTGGAACTCAGACACCAGCCTACCCAGCCTTGGAACTACTTTCCCTGGAGCCAAACCATAGATGAAAACAATAATTATAACAGTTATAATTTCTAAAGTGATTCTAGGTATAGGCCCCATGTGCTAGGTGCATAGTATTCAAGATACCTCAGTTAATTAAAAAGTTTGAATGTTGCTGGTTTAGATAGCCACCTGAGAGACTAATGGATAATAGAGACTTGCTTATTTATGATTGTTAGTAAGTAGGGTAAATAACAGATCCTTTATGTTATTAGTAAAGTGCTTTATTGCTTTGAGGTATACCTGTAATGAATGTTTCACTCCCCAAATTAAATTTTTCTTTGCCTGGAAAAAGAGATATCTCAGTCAAGATTCAGTTGAAGGAAATAGATGCTGTTTGTATTAGTCAGCACATACTATGGTAACAAACATCCCAAATACCTCAGAAGCTTATACCCATACATATTTTTTCTCATGGGTCTGTGTGTTGGCCATGGCTGTTAGGGCTCAGCTCAGCTCTACATGTGCTATCATCCAGGGACCCAGGCTGAAGGTACAGCACCTATCTGGGATATGTTACTCTCATAATAGAAAGCAGAAATGCAAGAGTTCCTGACCAACTACACAATCTCATCCATTCACATCTCATCGACCAAAGCATATCCCACAAACCAAGCTAAAGCCAATGAGAAGTGGATACATCCTCTTCCCCAGAATGCACTGGGCAAGTCACGTGAAAATGAATGGGGTCACATAATCCCACTATAGGGAGGAGGCAGTTGTTGGAAAAAGCAATTTAATCTACCACACCACAGCATTTTAAACATAAAGGTATTTATTGCATGAAATTGGGTGTTTATAGGACTGTCAGAAGGGCTGGAGAGATAGGATTTAGACTGGGTGTTGTGCTTTTGGAGAATGGCACACCAGAGGGAAAAAGAACTGAATGCTGGTGCCAATTCACTCATAACCACCACAAATTCCTTTTTGGAAGAACCCTGGAAGGTTGCGATGAGTCTCCTTAAGCAGCTGACCTAGAGTAGTCTATACCAGAAAGACTCACCACTGTGACCTCTTTGCTTCACAGGTCTGACCATGCATTGGCTGCGGAAACTCCAGCAGGTTTGCATCCGATGGCGGACCCAGATGTCTGGTCGCACTGTCCACCTTCATACCAAGCAACTGGCATCCCTGCAGTGGGGTCACCAGGAGGTCCCTGCCAAATTTAACTTTGCTAGTGATGTGATAGATCATTGGGCTGGCATGGAGAAGGTAATGGGGTGGAAAAGGGGCACAAAGTTGAACAAAGTTCATTAATTCATCCATTCATTCCATAAGTATTCATTGAGCACTTATGTGTCAAGTACTATGATGAGCTATGAAGATGTCCATCTCCCATGAAGGCAGCATGGGTAGGAGCAAGAGAGCATGGGCTTGGCAGAAAGGAGCCCTCGGGGGCTGGTGCTGGGTGGGGCGATCTGGAACACTTCCCCACCCCAGCCCTGGCAGCTGACACACAGTTTGCCTATACATACATGCTCTCTTGTGACCTCTCAGGGTAAAATAAGGAAAAGGGAGCTGTGGTCATAGAGAAAGTAGATTGGAGTTTAGTAAGAGAAAGTCAGCACTGACCAAAGACTGAGTCAGTCTTCTCAGAAAATTATGTGTCCTTGTCATTAGGGGTGTGTAAACAGGGTGGCCACTAGGCAGGGATTGTTCAAAAGGGCTCCATTATGAGATATTAGAGAAAGAAAGCAATGTGGAAATTTCCCTCCCTGGACTTCTGGAATTCCACCCCATTCATTGCCAATTCTGCCATTGCCTTCCCCTAAAGTTCTGCACACCATTCTAGAGCATGGAAGATGAATGAAGAGGTGGAGCATGGTGCTCAAAAGGAGTCATACCATGATGTTGGCCTGAGGTCCCAGCACCATGACACAACCTTGATGTGCAGATCACAAATGCTGGGCCCCTAGGTGAAGATGGCCCATGGTGCAGGCACTCTTAAAAAATAATAATAGTAGGGGCACCTGGGTGGCTCAGTCAGTTAAGTGTTTGCCTTTGGCTCAGGTCATGATCCCAGGGTCCTGGGATCGAGCCCCGTATCAGACTCCCTGCTCAGTGGGGACCCTGCTTCTCCTCCTGCCCCTCCTACCGCTTGTGGGTGGGCACTTGCACAAGCTCTCTCTTTTGCTCTCTCTCTCAAATAAATAAAATACTGAAAAATAATAATAATAAGTCAACATTTTAAAATTGAAATTTTTCAGATAAAAATTTAGATTTCTGGCTTTTCTTTGAAAGTTATACCTCCTTAGAATAATGAAGAAGGTCTTTACTACCATGATTCAGAATCCTGAATCCATAAAAGAAATTATTTAATAAATTAGTTATATAAACATCAAAAAATCACCACATTGACAATGCCATAAACAAAATAAAGAAACTAGTGACAACTGAGGGAAGATACTCAATTCCTATGACAGCATAAGAGTTAATAGTCCCAACATAAAAAGAGCTCCTTGAAATCAAGAATAAAGAGACACAACCAAATATACAAGTGGGCAAGTTATATGAATGGACAGTTTACAGAAAAGTGAACTCAGGGGCTCCTGGCTGGTTCAGCCAGTAGAGCATGTGACTCTTGATCTTGGGGTTATGAGTTCAAGCCCCATATTCAGCATAGAGATTACTTTAAAAATAAAATCTTTAAAAAAAAAAAAGAAAAGTGAACTCCAACGGTTCTTAAATGCTCAACCCCACTCATAGTAAGAGTAATGTAAGTTAAAACTTCACTGAAATAATATTTTTACCTATCAGTTTAGTTAAATACAGGAGTTTGACAACATACTGTGTTGACAGGACTATGAGGAAAATGACACTTTTACACATTACTGGTCAAAGTACAAAAGGATACAACTCTGAGGAATTTTTAAATATCTAACACAATTACTATTAAATTTTCTCTGACTTTGTAGTACTGCTTTCAGACTATGATATGGAACCCTGAGGATACCTGAGACTTGGGGTAATCTGTGAAAACAAAACTATCTCGAAACAAAACTAAGACAAATTGGAATCCTTGTGCATCACCAGTGGGTATGTAAAATGGTACAGCTTCTATGAAAAAACAGTGTGGCAGCCCCTCAAAAAAATTTCAAGTAGAATTACTATATAATCTAATAATTCCAGTCTTAGATATATATCCCAAAGAATCAAAAGCAGAGTCTTGCTTAGGGAATTCAGTGACTCCATCAAACATAATAACTTTTCTATTATAGGAGTCCTAGAAGAAGAGAGAGAAAAGGGGGCAGAAAATTTATTTGAGAAAATAATAGCTGAAAACTTCCCTAATCTGGGGAAGGAGGCAGATATCCAAATCCAAGAGGCACAGAGAACTCCCATCAAAATCAACAATAGCAGGCCAACACTAAGACATATTATAATTAACAATACTAGTAGGGAACTTTAACACCCCACTTACAGCAATGGACAGATCATCTAAGCAGAAAATCAACAAGGAAGCAATGGCTTTGAATGTCACACTGGACCAGATGGACTTAACAGATATATTCAGGACATTTCATTCTAACGCAGCAGAATAGACATTCTTTTCGAGTGCACATGGGACATTCTCCAGAATAGATCACATACTAGTCACAAATCAGCCCTCAACAAGTACAAAATATTGAGATCATACCGTGCCTATTTTCTGACCACAATGCTATGAATGGGTCAATCAGGAAATCAAAGAAGAAGTTAAAAAATATGGGGTGCCTGGGTGGCTTTGTCAGTTAAGCATCTGCCTTTGGCTCAGGTCATGATCTTGGGATCCTGGGATCAAGCCCTGCATCGAGCTCCCTGCTCAGCAGGGAGTCTGCTTCTCCCTCTCTCTGCTCATGCTCTTTCTCTCTGTCTCTCTCAAATAAATAAATAAAATCTTAAAAAAAACATTTAAAAAAGAAATTAAAAAATACATGGAAATGAATGAAAATGAAGAGCATGGTCTTGAAGAGATACTTGTACACCCATGTTCATAGCAGGATTATTCACAATAGCCAAAAGGTAGATTCAGTGGATGAATGGATAAACAGAATGGGGCACATCCATAAAATGGAATATGGTTCAGCCTTTAAAAAAAATGAAATTTGTGTCGTATGCTACACCAAGGATGAACCTTGAAGATACTCTGTTAAGTGAAATAAGCCAGTCACAGAAGGACAAATGTTGTGTGTTTCCATTTATATGATGAGGTTCCTAGAGCAGTCAAATTCATAGAGACAGAAAGTAGAATGCTGGTTGCTAGGTGCTGGGAGGGTGGTGAACTGGGGAGATCTTGTATAATGAGGACAGAGTTTCCATCTAGAAAGATGAGAAAGTTGTGGCGATGGATGGTGGTGATGATTGCACAGTAAGGCAAATGCACTTAATACCACTGAACTGTATGCTTAAAAATGGTTAAAATGATGGACATTTAGGCTCTTTCCATAGTTAGGCTATTGTGGACATTGCTGCTATAAACATTGGGGTGCATGTGCCCTTTCAGATCACTACACTTGTATCTTTGGGGTAAATACCCAGTAGTGCAATTGCTGGGTCGTAGGGTAGCTCTATTTTCAAATTTTTGAGGAACCGCCATGAATGGATAAAGAAGATGTGGTATATATATACAATGGAGTATTATTGCAGCTATCAAAAAAATGAAATCTTGCCATTTGCAATGATGGGTTGGAACTAGAGGGTATTACGCTAAGCAAAATAAGTCAATCAGAGAAAGACAAGTATCATATGATCTCACTGATATGAGGAATTTTAGAAACAAGACAGAGGATCATAGGGGAGGGGAGGGAAAAATGAAACAAGACGAAACCAGAGAGGGAGACAAACCATAAGAGACTCTTAATCTCAGGAAACAAACTGAGGGTTGCTGGAGTGGAGGGGGGTAGGAGGGATGGGGTGGCTGGGTGATGGACCCTGGGGAGGGTATGTGCTATGGCGAGCACTGTGAATTGTGTAAGACTGATGAATCACAGACCTGTACCCCTGAAACAAATAATACATTATATGTTAATACAAAAATGGTTAAAATGGTAAATTTTATGGTATGTATATTTGACCATAATAAAAAAGAAAAACAAAAAATAAATACCTAGAGAGGGGAAAACAAATAAATAAATCTAAGATAAATTTGCCTTTTTTGCTGTCATGCTCTGACAAGTATATAGTGGTATTTTCCAGAGACTACATGGCAGGTAACACTGCAACATAGTGGTAGAAACAAATAAAAGAATCCAACTGTCTTCTATTAAGGAAGATGTGAAAGAGATTTGCAAAAATGTAAAACAAAGCTACTCTTTTCCTTTTTTTGTCTTAGAAAGTATACTTACCTCTTTATTAAAACATATCATATTTGTGGTAATGTATAATGGTTTGCATCTGTTATTTGTAAAAGCACACATTTGTAAAATTTCTCTATTTTAATTTCTAATGTAGTAAATAGAGATAGATAGAACCCATATAAATAAAAGTTCTTTGGAGTGTAGAGGGGATCCTGAGATCAACAAGTCTACTAAGCATTGATGTGACAATTCCAAGACATGATTTATTCTACATGCATGTGTGTGCCAGCCCACCCTGATCAGCAGATCTTCTCTTTCTTCAGGCTGGCAGGCGACCTCCAGGCCCAGCCCTGTGGTGGGTGAGTGGTGACGGGGATGAAATAGTGTGGAACTTCAGCCAACTGAGGGAACTCAGCCATCAGGCAGCCAATGTCCTTTCGGGGGCATGCAGCCTGCAGCCTGGGGACCGTGTGGCGGTGGTGCTGCCCCGAGTACCTGAGTGGTGGCTGGTGACCCTGGGCTGCATGCGAGCAGGTTGGTAATTGATTGCCTGGCCTGGTCACTATCTCCCTTGTGAAGCTGTTGGCAGAGAAATTCCACCACCCTTCCCAAAAGATGTCCCCTCTACATAGCATGCTGTCTCTCCTCATATGGAAATACCACCCTTCATTCAATTATTTAAGTAAACTGTGCACCAAGCACTGTGCTAGAGTCTACAGAGTAGACAAAACATGGTCTATACATTCATGGGGCTTAAAGATCTTTCGAGAGAGATAGTCTTTAAACTATTAATTGCACTCATAATTATTGAATCACAATTTTGATAAGTGGCATGAGAATTTTATAAGAACCTATTGAAAGAAAAAAGTTGGCAAACGATGACCTATAGACCAAATCTGGTCTGCTGCTTGTTTTTGTAAATAAAGTTTTATTAGAACACAGTCATGCCCTGTTTACATATTGTCTGTAGCTGCTTTTGCACTACGATGGCAGACTTGAGTAGTTGGGACAGAGAGCATCTGGCCCACAAGGCCTAAAATATCTACTATTTGGCCCTTTGCAGAAAAATTTTGCCAACCCCTGTGATAAAAGGAGACCTTAACTGACTAATCTGAGGGGTCACTGAAGTCTCAGTGGAGTGATATTTGGGCTGGGATCTGAAGGATAAGTGGGGTTCAGCCAGGAGAAGATGCAGAGAGGAATGCCCCAAGCAGAGGGAACAGCACAGAGAGGAAGGAAGCTTGCACATTATGAGAAAACCTGAAAGGATATCTATGTGTTTAGAGGCAGCAAGGAGAACATAGTGGCAAGTGAGCCTGGAAAGATGGGCAGGACCCTGGGGTCCATGGTGAGGGTTCTTCATCCTTATCCAGTGAGGAATGGAAAAGCATAGATGGATTGAGTGACATCATCATACTTTGTTTATAAAAGGTCACCCTGGATGGTGCATAGAGATGGGATGATGGAGGGCTAGAGTAGGTTGGGAAACCCAGACAGGAAACAAGGAATGATGCTGGCTTCAACCTTGGATGGGGTGGTGGAGATGGAGGTAAGTGGGTGGATTTAAGAGGCAATTAGGAGGAAACTGAGAATACCATTTTTTGATGAATGACATATGATAGAGAAAGAAAGCCAGGGAGATGGAGAAGTCACAGAAACTCTGGCAACTGGATGGATGCTTTGGGCTTTCACTAAAGTGAGGACCACAGGGAGAAGCAGATATGGGGCTGTCAAGGTAAGATGGCAGGTTCAGTTTGGGAACTGTTGAGTTAGAGGTACCCATGTGATGTTCAAGAAGGGATGAGAAGTTCCAGTTACAATATAAATACGTCCTGGGGATGTAATGTACAGCATGGGAATTATAGTTAACAATACTGTATTGTGTATTTGAAAGCTGCTAAGAGAGTAGATCTTAAAAGTTGTTATCACCAGAAAAGAAAATTTGTAGTTATGTGTGGTGATGGATGTTAACTAAGCGTGGTAATCATTTAATAATATATCCATAGATCAAATTATTATGTGGTACACCTAAACCTAGTACGGTGTTATAAGTCTATTATATATCAATTAAAGTATGTATGGGAAAAAGAAAAGAAGGGTTGGAAAGTGAGATGTTGCATTGAAGGGCACAATGTCTGAGACGGAGACAGAAATTCAAGAATCATCAGCCTTTAGATTCGAGAGATGAGAAGTGGAGAGGTGTAAGAAAGTCACAGAAACACCTGCACAACCTACCCTCATTCCCACCCGACCCTTCCTGGCTTCTCTCACATGTAACAGGTATTCTCATCAAAAAGGAGGAAGATGTAAGTACGGTCAAGATGTAGGAGTAATCAGAGGAAGTAGAAAGTAGGAACCTGAGGCCCCATGGAGAGAGTGAACAGGCCACACAAGGAAGATGACACCCTGAGAGATTACCGTCTGAAGGGAAGGAGAACTTAGTGGGGGACATGTGTCTGTTTTTCTGCGGGCCTGACTCAACATGGCCATTGTGTTGGAGATGCACTGGAGGTGGTTAACCGGTCTGCAGTGTGGATCCTGAAATGTTGAGAGTGGGAAGAAAGTGAGCCAGGGGTAAAAGCTGTGCATGAGGAGGAACATGTGAAATAAGCTTTGTAAATGGTGAAATATAAGTCGTTATTCTCCAGAAGAATAAACAAAATCACACAGGTCTTATCAAGTTAGAAGACAAAAACAAAGCTAAGAGCACTCTTGCCCAAGAAAATTCCGTGTTCCAGGTTTGGGAGAAGTAACCAGGCCCTAGAGCAGGACCTGTGTTGCAGGATGGAGAAATTCTAAGAGCCTTTCCATAGTTTAATTACTCTATGAAAGTCTTTGGATATGGGAAACTTCTGTAGGGCATTGTGTGTGTGTGTGTTTGTGTGTGTGGGAGGCGGTTAGACTGTCCATGGCATGACATCAGGCAACTCAGTTTCTCTCCTTAGTCCTGGTCGACCCCTTACAGTTCTAACACACCCAGGAAATTGGTGTTCAAATCACTCTTTGATCTTTGGTGCCTTGCTACTGATATTGCCCATTGGCCATCCCTTCCTCAACCCCTCTTCCCTCATTTGCTCCCCACTGGTTGATTACATCAAGCTTCTCTAGGGAAGAAGATAACCATCCCTCCCAGTTCTCTCTAAGACATTTGGTTTCTCTAGGCCTCGTCTTCATGCCCGGGACTATCCAAATGAAAGCCAAGGACATTCTCTATAGGCTGCAGGTGTCTAAAGCCAGGGCCATCGTGGCTGGGGATGAAGTGGCCCAGGTAGTGGACACTGTGGCCTCTGACTGCCCTTTTCTGAAAATGAAGCTACTGGTATCTGAGAAAAGCCAGGATGGGTGGCTGGACTTTAAGACACTACTACGGTGAGTTCCTACATGTCTCAGCCTGTGTTTTCACCAAAAGTGGAAACTGAACAAAGCACTTATGTGTACGTGCTTTATTTGGGAGCTCCAGCGAGCAGAGTGTGGGACTGGGGAGCGTGAAGCAGGGATGAAGGAAAAGCTAATTTAAGAGTTTATTATTGAGTCACTGCATGCTATAAGTGGGCTTGATCTGCAGGGACTTCACAGAATGCCTCTCAGGATTATCCACTGAAGGACTGACAATCTTTGAGCCATCAGCCTCTGAGCCCCATTGGTGGACGGTTGTATGGGGGGTGGGTATCATCTACCCCATACTTCCAGGCTGCATATACATGCATGCAGAGCAGGCTCAGAGTCCCATGCCATCATGGCAACAGAGAAATCCTGGGGCACAAAGTGAATCAGCCATAGTCCACACCAGAAGCACCACCAAGTGGATTGAAATGCCCAGAGCTGTTTACAGCAAACCTGGCAGGAATCAGAGGTGAGGCCAAGAGCATCTGAGGTAAAACGCAGAGGATGATATACTGAATATCCTCCTCTCACCCTCTGTATCTCTAAGCTAGGCTTCTAAAGCAGAGGACTCTATGAGTCCTTCCAGCAGTGTATGGCTGGCTTGGTTGTAAGAATGCGTTTCCCTGTCACATGTCTGGACTCCCTCCACTAGAGACACAGACCTAGGGAGAACAAAAGCTTTTTCTAATGTCATGGTCTTTAAGATAACTGTCAGAGAAGTTGACAACATGCAACCAGCTTTGAAAGACTTGAAATTGGGACACTAGGGGAGATATTCAAGAGAGGGAAGTCAAGGGATTAGAGGAGGTTGTATTGTGAAAACTGATACTAAATGAGCACCTACTATTAACTGGTATCCTGTGAGGGCTCTCAACAACAATCAGGTTAACATTTATGGAGTTTTTGCCGAGCAAGTTGCTCATTTTCTTTGGGTTACAGTTAATTTTCTCAGTAACTCTATGAGATGGATATTATTGATGATGTTTCACAGATAGAGAAAGTGAAACTCAAAGAAGTTAAATAAATATCTGAAGTCACATAAAGTGCCAAATCTGAGTGGGTTTTGAGCCCAAGTGTGACTGACTCAGAATCCCTTGATCTTAATCATTCATAAGCACCCCTTCTGAAGTCGGTTGGCTGACTTGCCAGCATGGGGGAAGGTGGGAAGAGATGAGTCGCTGGGACATCTAATGTCCCAGGGAGATCTGAGAATGTGACAGTCTGTGTCTTTGCCAGAGAAGCATCTACCACTCATTGCTGTGTAGAGACTGGAAGCCAAGAAGCAGCTGCCATCTACTTCACCAGTGGGACTAGTGGCCTTCCCAAGATGGCAGAACACTCCCACTCAAGCCTGGGCATCAAGGCCAAGATGGATGCTGGGTAAGAGAAACCCTTTCTCTCTACAGAAAACTACATGACCAAGGCTTGAGACTTTTCTGAGCTCAAATCCAGTTCTCTTTGCATGGGCTACCATCTGCTGCTTCTGAGAAAGACAGTTGGGAAGCTGGGCAAGAGGGAGCATGGCTTAGCAAGCTGGGTATCTAGTGACCTTTGGTGGGACATTTTTGTTCCAGATAACTTGGGATCTCTAAACCTCTTCAGTGCTTTGAGCCATGTGTGTAATAGGATTAGCACAAGGTCTATGTGCATTTCCCCTTCCAGTCCATCTATATCTTGTCCTTTGGAATGCTGGTAATTTGCTTTGATGCTGCCCACATTCCAAGAGGGCATTTTGGCTGTCAGCATCAAATTACTTCTCAAATCTGTTGAGGTGGAAGCTATAATTGGATTACAGTTTACCCTTGAACGATACAAGGGTTAGGGGCACTGGCCCCTGTGCTGCTGAAATCCAGGTATAACTTTTGACTACCCCAAAACTTAACTACTAATAACCTACTGTTGACCAGAAGCCTTACTGATAACCTAAACAATCAATTAACACCTATGTTGTATGTTATATGCATTATATACTGTATTCTACAATAAAGTATGCACGAGAAAAGAGCATTTTATTTTATTTTTTTTAATTTTTTTATTATGTTAATCACCATACATCATTAGTTTTTGATGTAGTGTTCCATGATTCATTGTTTGTGCATAACACCCAGTGCTCCACACAGAATGTGCCCTCTTTAATACCCATCACCAGGCTAACCCATCCCCCCAACCCCCTCCCCTCTAGAACCCTTAGTTGTTTTTTCAGAGTCCATCGTCTCTCATGGTTTGTCTCCCCCTCCGACTTACTCCCCTTCATTCTTCCCCTCCTGCTATCTTCTTCTTTTTCTTTTTTCTTAACATATGTTGCATTATTTGTTTCAGAAGTACAGATCTGTGATTCAACAGTATTGCACAATTCACAATTGTGTGAGGTGGTATCTCATTGAGGTTTTGATTTGGATTTCCCTGATGCCAAGCGATGTTGAGCACTTTTTCATGTGTCTGTTGGCCATTTGGATGTCTTCTTTGGAAAAATGTCTGTTCATGTCTTCTGCCCATTTCTTGATTGGATTATTTGTTAAAAGAGCATTTTATTAAGAAAATCATAAGGTAGAGAAAATACATTTACAGTACTATACTGTATTGAAAAAAATCTGCATGTAAATGGACCCATGCAGTTCAGACCCATGTTGTTCAAGGGTCAAGTGTAATGAAATGAACTGAGATCTCAGAATTTCTGAATCTCAGATCCCATAATTCAGAATTTTCTTTTACAATATATCAACCTCATCAGTGGAATCAAAATACTGTGCCAAGGTTGTCATGCAATAATAATAAGAGATATTCAGGGTCTTTTCTTTTTTCAGGATATCCTGCTTATCATGTTAAGTCTATTATTAGAACTGGAAAAATATTTTAATGCAAAAAATGTAAAAAACTTAAATGCCCCATCTATGAGTCTGTAGTACCAGAAAATTAAATTATTTAATAGAAATTATTAGAAGAGCTATAGTAAAATGCAGTGTCTAAAAGATGGGATCCCACTTACACTTAAATGTAAGTAAGATATTAAATTTCCACCCCTCACCCCAAAATTTGGTCCCAATATGCCAAATAGACCCAATTTCCCTACAGAGCTGAAAATATTGTCTTCGGTAAGAGACACATACTATGATGATTCCCAGCCACAGAGAAGTTCTTTGTGTCTAGCCTAAATCATTTTTGCTTTAAGACAGGGCTAATAACTTTTATTCTGGCCTGAAGAGAGGAAGGATACACATTTCACCCTGTATAGGACCTTCAACTGTGCGTAGGCAGTTGAGCTCTATCCAACCAAACTTGAACTTAGCAAGGCCACTTTTTAGAATATTCACTTAGATGTCCTTTGTTAGTAAACATTTCCTGGGTGGTTACCTCATGCCAAAAACTGTATTAAGTTCTGGGGATAAAATGAGAATAAGACCCGAGCTGGTCTGCCCGAGACCCCCTGAGCGCCAACCCTATTCCCCTGCGCAGTCCCATTTCCACTCCAACAAGATGAAAGAAACTATCATGAACCAGGAGAAACTCGCCAAACTGCAAGCACAAGTGCGCATTGGTGGGAAAGGAACTGCCCGCCGAAAGAAGAAGGTGGTTCATAGAACGGCTACAGCAGATGATAAAAAACTTCAGTTCTCCTTGAAGAAGTTAGGGGTAAACAATATCTCTGGTATTGAAGAAGTGAATATGTTCACTTTTTTTTTTATATTTCAGGTATTTTTTTATTTCTTCAAATTTATCAGGAGTGACTGAAATAAAAAATATAATTGAGTCCTGTCATCATGGAAATGGCTTTAAGAGAAAACTGGTCAGATGAGTATTATTGCTTCCCGTTTTCAACCAGTGGAATAGTTGCCATTGATAAATAGGCAGCCAACAGTCTGTCAAGAATGCTCAAGATATGTTATATAATACAACATGCCTGTTCACAGTGGGGGAAAGACTAGGAAGTAACTCATGTGAACTTCTTGATTTCATCCTACAAGACCAGCACAAAAGCACCACCCATGCCTCTGAGAACATTGGACCACGCCCCCTTGAAAAACTCTTTGGCTCCTTCATCACGAGCGATCTTCCTCCAGCAGTCTACTGTACCTGTGTGCATGATGTCAGTTCCTTTGCGCCCTGACTGCATCATCATTCGGCGGCGAACAGTGTCAAACGGGTAGGAAGTCAACCCGGCAACCGCTGTGACGGATTGTGCGATCATCCAGCTGATGAAGATGTGAGTATTCTTGGGATCTGGAAGCATTCCCTTTGCGGTGTCATAGATACCGAAGTAGGCAGCTCGGTAGATGATGATGCCCTGCACAGACACATTAAAGCCTTGGTATAGGCCCTTCATGCCATCGGATTTGTAGATCTTCACCAGGCAGTCACCGAGGCCTCGGAATTCCCTTTCAGCTCCAGCTTTGCCCACATTGGCTGCGAGCCGGGTATGGGCAAAATCAAGAGGGTACACAAAACACAAGGATGTGGCCCCAGCGGCACCACCTGACGCCAGATTCCCGGCAAAGTAGTGCCAAAACTGGGTTCTCTTGTCCACACCACCCAGGAAGATCTGCTTGTATTTATCTTTGAAGGCGAAGTTGAGAGCGTGGGTGGGGAAGTATCTGATGACATTGGCCAGGTTACCGCGCCAGAAGGACAGGACTCCCTGCTCCTTGGAGATGCGAACCACACAGTCCATAATGCCCTTGTATTGCTTATCTGCTGTGATTTGCTTGCTGGCATGCTGCACCTGCAGCAGCAGCTTGACCCGCTCGATGGGCGCTACCGCCGTCTTGGAGATGGCCGCGGCCACTCCACCCGCCAGGAAGTCCTTGGCGAAGGACACAGCGGCATCTGTCATGTTGAAAGGAATGAGACGGGCGACTGCGGGACTACGGGAGGAACCGGCCGGAACCGCCCACCTGTCCTTTCCGAGCTACCCGGGGAAGGGTCCATACGGCGTTGTTTTGCGTTCCCGTCGTAACTTAAAGGGAAACTTTCACAATGTCCAGAGCCCTTGATGTCCTGCAAATGAAGGAGGAGGATGTCCTCAAATTCCTTGCAGCAGGAACCCATTTAGGTGGCACCAACCTTGACTTTCAAATGGAACAGTACATCTACAAAAGGAAAAGTGATGGTATCTACATCATAAATCTGAAGAGAACCTGGGAGAAGCTTCTGCTGGCAGCTCGTGCCATTGTTGCCATTGAAAACCCAGCTGATGTAGTGTCATATCGTCCAGGAATACTGGCCAGCGAGCTGTGCTGAAATTTGCTGCTGCTACCAGAGCCACTCCTATTGCTGGCCGCTTCACTCCTGGAACCTTCACTAACCAGATCCAGGCAGCCTTCCGGGAGCCGAGACTTCTGGTCGGGTTACTGATCCCAGGGCTGACCACCAGCCTCTTACAGAGGCGTCCTATGTTAACCTGCCTACCATTGCTCTGTGTAACAAAGACTCTCCTCTGCGCTATGTGGACATTGCCATCCCTTGCAACAACAAGGGAGCTCACTCAGTGGGTCTGATGTGGTGGATGCTGGCCAGGGAGGTTCTGCGCATGCGTGGCACCATTTCCCGAGAACACCCATGGGAGGTCATGCCTGATCTCTACTTCTACAGAGATCCTGAAGAGATTGAAAAGGAAGAGCAGGCCGCTGCTGAAAAGGCTGTGACCAAGGAGGAATTTCAGGGTGAATGGACAGCTCCAGCTCCTGAGTTCACTGCTACTCAGCCTGAAGTCGCAGACTGGTCTGAAGGCGTGCAGGTGCCCTCGGTGCCTATTCAGCAGTTCCCAACTGAAGACTGGAGCGCCCAGCTGGCCACTGAAGACTGGTCTGCAGCTCCCACTGCTCAGGCCACTGAATGGGTAGGAACAACCACTGAGTGGTCTTAAGCTGGTCTTCCACAAAGGCACACAAAATGGAAATAGAAATGGAAAAGGTTGACGGAAAATAAACAGCTAAAAAAAAAAAAAATAGCTCACGCCTTGGGAGGGGGTCTGACAATCTGCATCTGTGTCTGCGTATGCAATGGCTCCTGGGAGCATTGCCTCCAGTGATATCTCAACCTCCTCAACGTCCTCAACCTCCTTGCCCTCCACAGTGGGGTCGTCCGGGATGTCTGAGTCTGAACAGCCAGGCCCAAGCCGCAGCACCGCCCAAGGGCCGTGCTGCCACCCTCCCGTGCTGCGCATGGTCCTGGAGGCGCTGCAGGCGGGGGAGCGGCGCCAGGGCACCTCCGTGGCGGCCATCAAGGTTTACATCCTGCAGAAGTACCCTGCGGTGGATGTCCTCCGGCTCAAGTACCTGCTGAAGCAGGCCCTGGCCACGGGCATGCACCGTGGCCTGCTTGTCCGGCCCACCAACTCCAAGGCCAGGGGGGCCACTGGCAGCTTCAAATTGGTTCCCAAGCATAAGAGGAAAGTCCAACCCAAGAAGATACCCATCATGACAGCCCCCAGGAAACCCAGTGAGGCCAAGGAGAAGGTCCCCAAGAAACCAAGGGAGGCAAAGAAGGACCCTCCCAACCCAGGCGAGGTGAAAAGGGGACCCAGGAAGCTGCAAGAGGTGAGGACGGCTCCTCCCAAACCAGGTACAGCCAAGGAGAAAGCTCCCAAGAAAGGCGGCCCGACCAAAGACCAAGAGGCAAGAGCGAGTGAGGCCAGAAAGGCCTCCCAACAGCCAGACAAGGCCACACGGGCCCCTCCCAGTGCCACCGGGCCCAGTGGGAAGTCAAAGGTCAAAGGCAGAAGGAAGAGCCAGGGTGGTGAGGCCCACAGGAAAACAAAAGCTGGGAGTCGGAGTGCAAAACCCACAGTCCCCAAGGCCAAGAAGGGTACTGCTTCTCCAGCCAAAAAGAAGGAAAATCATGTCCCTAAAGAGGTCGTTGCCCATGCGGCCAAGGCGGGGCCCAAAGCCAAGGCCGCTGCTCTTCCCAGGGCTGGTGGGTCTAAGATGGTGCCTGAACCCCTGGCCAGGAAGACAGAGGCCCCCAAGGGCCCAAGGAGGCTGGACTTGCCCACCAAGGCCTCATCATCCAAACTGGCCAGTAGGAAGGCGGAGGCTGAAAGCTAGAGCTGGGGTGGAGACACGGAGATCCTGCTCGAGTTTTTATTCCCCAACATACCGTCACTCTATTTATTTCATTGTAATCTATTTATCAATAAAGGCTTTTTTCCCCTAAAAAAAAAAATGAACAGCTTTTTTTTCAGCTCAAGATTTTTTCTGAATATTGGAGCTGTGGGGGATCACCTTTTCATTGAACAATGCCTGTTAAGTCTCCTAAATCTTTAATGGGTTGTCCCAAATGGGATGCCTCTTCTTTTTTCCAGGGAAAGTTAGGAAACCACGGCTTCACAGCTCTGTTGTGATCTCAGTTAATTTGCTTCTTAGCCTGTCTCTGAATTACTGAAGGAGTTCAACACAGGGCCAATCAGAAAATAGTCTCGTCATGGACACGGAGCGCACCACTTACGTTTTTCAGCAAAGCCACCAAAGGAGGCAGCATGCTGCAAGCTATTAGCCGCTGGATGTGCTGGTGAGGCCCTGCAGCCATGTTACTCAAGGCCCAAGCTGCCTCCTTCTGGATGGAGGACTTGGGGTGCATCAGGAGCTGGGGCAGCACGTTCAGCATGCCCGCGTTGATGGCCACCTGGGTCTGGTGACCTGTTCCCGTGATGATGTTCCCCACGGTGCAGAGGGAGGGGGTCAAGACATTGAGCTCTGAGCTGCTCATGAGCTGGATCAGCCTGGGCAGGACCCCCATGTTGACCACTTGGCTGATGGCGCTCGTTGGAGGCATCAGTGAGGTAGGACAGGGCCCAGCAGGTGTCCGAGAGAACCTCGCTGTCTTGGTGCTGCAGGAGGTGGGACAGGACGGGCAATATCTGCTTCACGGCTTTCACAGAAGGGTAAGGGTTCTTGTTTCGGCACAAGTTGGACACAGTCCACGTGATGTTCCGCATAAATGTGATTGGTATGGTTGATGAAACGAGGGCCAGCAGATGTGGAATGGCATTGCTCGAGATAACGAGGTCTCTGAATTCTGGGCCATCACCTGCTATATTACCAAGAGCCCACACTGCCTGTTCACACACAGTCCCCTCTAGCCACCCCAAAGTTCAGACATCGCTGGCTACCTGAGAGGATGATGATGAAGTTCCAGATCTTGTGGAGAATTTTGATGAAGCTTCCAAGAATGAAGCAAGCTGAATTGAGTCAACTTCTTTTTTTTTTTCAAGATTTTATTAATTTATTTGAGAGAGAGAATGAGATAGAGAGAGAGAGCATGAGAGCGGGGAGGGTCAGAGGGAGAAGCAGGCTCCCCGCTGAGCAGGGAGCCCGATGCGGGACTCGATTCCGGGACTCCAGGATCATGACCTGAGCCGAAGGCGGAGGCTTAACCAACTGAGCCACCCAGGCGCCCCTTGAGCCAACTTCTGAAGAAGATAAAACCTGAAGAACTTACTGGTAGCTGCTATTTTATATTATGACTGCTTTTTAAAATTTTGTTCATGGATCTGATAAAATCTAGATCTCTAATATTTTTAAGCCCAAGCCCCTTGGACATTGCAGCTCTTTTCAGTTTTTGCTTATACACAATTCATTCTTTGCAGCTAATTAAGCTGAAGAAGCCTGGGAATAAAGTTTGAAACAAGGTTAATAAAGTTCTTTGCCTGGGGGAAAAAAAAATGAGAATGAGACCCAATTATCTGTTAGGTCATGTCAGCTGGGGTCACACCTTCTGAATACTTGCTCCTTCTTGAAATAGGACATGTGGTTAGAACAACTCTCCTCCCCTCTGCCTGCTTATACTTATGTATAAGTGCTACAAACACACACACACACTTGCGCACACCCACCCCTACCCCCCCATAGATACTCATGCTCCACCCATCCCATCATGCACTCATGTATTTGTGTGTACATGTATTTCTTCTATATTCTCAGCATATGGACAGACCTGCAAGCCTCTGACATAATATGGACCATATCAGACACAGCTTGGATAGTGAACATCTTGACTTCATTTCTGGAACCTTGGATAGCAGGAGCATGCACATTTATCCATCTCTTGCCAAAGTTTGACCCAGTAGTCATTCTAAAGGTAAGACAGGATCCAGTTTGCACCAGAAGGTCAGAGGTAGCCCAAGGTTTGCACACTCCAGTTTATTTCAGTTTCTTTTCAATTCAGCAAATATTTACTAACTCTTGCCACATGGATGGACAGTATTCGGTAAGTAAGGTGGAAATGGTCCCTGCCCTCCTTGAGCTCCTGGTCCAGGAAAGGAGAGAGACCCATATACAGATAAAAGGAATATATTTAGGAGGCAGTTATCATTGGCCATTCATTCACTCAAAACATTTAATGGGCTCTTGCTTTGGTGTTGAGTATCAGACTTTTTCCTGTGGAACTTAATGGGACAGCCATTAAATAAAATCTACATGTTACATGACCCTGGAGGAACAAAGCAATGGAAATGGGTTTATTTTGCTTGCAAATGCACACCCTGTGTTGGATTCTACAACATGGATGGGGAGTTGGGCCATTGGTGTCCTGGGGCCTCCAGGTCTCTGAAGCAGTTGATGGCCCACTCAGACTTCTGTTTGGCTGGCAACAGAGACCCTGGGAGCAGACTGAGGCATGGATGGCATACTTAAAGGTCAAAAGGTCAGTCATGGTCTGGATTCTCTCAAGAGATTCTCTTCAGATGGTTCCGTCATTCTCTGTTTTAAACAAATTTAAACAGAGTAAGTGCCTTCTTCTGAAAAGGATTTGAAGTGGCTTTTATTAAATGTCAGAAGTGGAAAACAACAACATGAAAACAGATGTAAAATTGTAAAGCATATTAGGAAAATATAGGGTGGAGATGTCAGTGGGTTGAGGGGGTGGGATGAAGGGGAGTAAGGAGAAGTATAGCAAATAAGTAGCTGATTGTTTGTTGAGCTTCCTGTAAGGCAAAGCAATAAGGGAAATGAGAAAATTTTCATCACTTATACCAGTTCATCATGAACACTCAGAGGAGGGACACCTGGGTGGCTCAGTCCATTAAGTGTCTGCCTTCGGCTCAGGTCATGATCCCCAGGGTCCTGGGATAGAGTCGCGCATCGGGCTCCTTGCTCAGCGGGGAGCCTGCTTCTCCCTCTGCCCCTCCCCCTGCTTGTCCTCATGCTTGCGCTCTCTCTCTCTGACAAATAAATAAAAATTTTTTTAAAAGGACACTCAGAGGAAATAATTGCGTGATGTGCTAATGTTAATCTTTTTTTTCTAGACATTTTTGCCTGAATCACTCTTTGTAATAAATTATGCACAAAGCAAAACATGGGATGGAGGTGGTGTTGCATCACAGTTAAAAGTATGGGCCGGAAATGCTGATTCCACTCCCTGCTGGTTGTATGACCTTGGGCAAATTATTTAGCCCTCTGACTCACAGTTTTCCCTTCTTAAAATGTGGGTGATAATACACACTCCATGAGGTTATCGTGAGAATTCAATGAGAAAGCACAGGGCTGACAAGTATTCAGTACTAGCTATTTTTAATAACACTTCTACTGAATTGTTTATAGGCACTCTGACTTTTTTCTTTAAGATTTATTTATTTATTTGAGAGAGAGAGAGCATGCGTGTGTGACCAGGGGGAGGGGCAAAGGGAGAGGGAGAGAGAGAATCCTCAAGCATACTCCCTGCTGAGTATGGAGCCCAACAAGGGGCTGGATCCGAGGACCCTGAGATCATGACCTGAGCCAAGACCAAGAGTCAGCTGCTTAACTGATTGAGCTACCCAGGTGCCCTGGTGCTTTTAACTTTTCAAAGCACTTTTATACCTGAATTATGTCCCAAAAATAGCTTCAGGAGAATAGGGCTGGAATTAATCTGTTAACAAAGCTAGTCCTGGAAGTTTAAGTGACTTAACCAAGACCATATGTCCAATCTGCAACACTGACTGAGCTCCTTCCCTTGGTGACTGGAGGTTTACATAATTCTAGAGGTGTGTTAATGGGGGCGAGTCATTAAAGCGGCGGGAAGAGTAAGCCAGGATTTGACAAAAATGTTCCAAATGAGTCCTGGACCCTTTCTCTGTAATGATAGGTGGTTATTTCTTTGTTATTTTTGGTTTGAGGATTTGGCCTGAAATAGACAGAATAAAGAAGGTAAGATTTAAATCCAGAGCCCAGCTCCAGGGCCCATGCTTGCAACCACTGTGCATGCTGCTAAGTTCACCTAACCTGGTGGTTAGTGTCAGCCGGCTCTCTCCTTCTAGGTGCTGTCCAGCTACCCAATCAACAGCATGGTAGGAGCACCCATCGTTTACCGGATGTTGGTACAACAGGATCTTTCTAGGTGATGGGGCTTTGGGGGTTGGTTTGAGCCTCCAGGTTTATTGGTACATCTTCTTGCCTCTACCACATACACATATGTTCATCTCTCTGACCCGTTAAGCATGGGTTGCCCCATGAAACCTACCTCATCATTAAAGTACCTGGAATCCTCTTTAGGCCTGGACAGAGTTTGGTTCCAGGGAGGCTCAGGGGGAACATTTACCTCCCTTCTCTCCTTCAGTTACAAGTTCCCACGTCTCCAGAACTGCTTCAGTGGAGGAGAGACCCTCCTTCCAGACACTTTGGAGAACTGGAGGGCCCAGACAGGACTGGACATCCGAGAATTCTATGGCCAGACAGAAACGGTACCTGCTCCTAGGGGAACCATGGGTGGTGCACCCGGTGGGCTTCAAAAGGCTCTCTGATAATAAAAATATGAACCACTACTTATTCATGCACTTATTCAATAAATACTTATTGAGCACCTGCTGTGGAATAGGTATTGACAATTGAACAGAAACAAAGTAGCCAGGGCTCCTCCTCTCCTGGACATTACCTTCTGCTGGGAGTGGGGGGCTGAGACATAAACTGATAGATACATGTCATGGCAGACAGTAAGATGTTCTGTGGAGGAAAGTAAAGCAGGTGAGATGACATGACGTGGGATGAGGGACTGGTATTTCCGATATGGTTGTCAGGAAAGTCCTCTGTAGTGGGGTAAAATTTTAGCAGAGACCCAAAGTTATCAAGCATATCAGACTCTGTCCTAAGCTGCTCAGACTAAAGTGAGGAATGGGGAGAAGAACCCACTAAGCCCCCCACCTTACCTGCTGAGATGTCTTCTTGGAACTCTTGGGGCCCCCTGAGCACAAGGTGAATTTGCACTGCTCTAAACTCTGCTGCTTTATCAAAACAACCTGAGGAATAGTTTCCCCAGCAAATTTTCCCCAGCAACCTTGCTCTTACCTGTGACTCTCAGTACCTCTGGCCTCCTCTCCACTCTTTTATCCTATACCCCTCTCCCACTAATGGGTCCCCCTGGCAGGATTCCTGAGAGGGCTTATGGATGAGAGCACTGTGATGTGGAAGAGCTTTGCAAATGTGGGTGAGGACAGTGGATGTGTGGCAAGGGCTTCTAGCCTTTCAGAAAAAGCCATGTTTAAGGAATGTTCCTTTAAACACCAGCAACTCTGTAGGATTCGTTTTAGGATTCAAGCAGAGCTAGCTCTCTTATGGGAAGTAATTTAATCCCATACTGTTTTAAAGGACTTTTGTGGTCTATGGACCTTTATTAAAGTATAGCTCCCTCTAAATAGATTAAAATGTGGCTGTCAGTTCCTTTTCCCTGGGGAGGGGTCAGTTGGAATGCTTTCTAAACAATGTAGTGCAACCCCCAGGGTAGGGGTTCCAGTAAAGGGGAGGAAGCCAGGAACAGGACTATGTTAAGATCTGCTCTGCTAAATCTTTTTTTGTTTTTTTTCTGTGACCATATGACTCCTCCTGAGGTTTGCCAATCTGTCTACCAATCTTCTGCAGGGACTCACTTGCAGAGTTTCCAAGACCATGAAGATCAAACCTGGTTACCTGGGAACTGCTATTCCCCATTATGATGTGCAGGTTTGTTAGGAGCTCTAAGGAGGGAGGGAAAAATAGGGAATGCACTAATTTTTCAGGAATTTATTTATTATATTGTTCACTGAGGAAAAAATCATGGAAATTAAAGATATTTAAATAATATTTAAAAAGGAAGGGTAATGATGAAAAGAAGGAAGGGAGGGAGGGAGGAAAGATGAAAGAAAATTAATCATATTCTTTTTTTTATGTTATGTTAATCACCATACATGACATCATTAGTTTCTGATGTAGTGTTCCATGATTCATTATTTGCATATAACACCCAGTGCTCCATGCAGAACGTGCCCTCTTTAATAACCGTCACCAGGCTAACCCATCCTCCCACCCCCCTCCCCTCTAGAACCCTCAGTTTGTTTTTCAGAGTCCATTGTCTCTCATGG